GCAGTCGAAACGTCGCGATCCACATCTCAAGTGACTACATCGTGAGACAAACGATAATACACTTTATTATGTAATAAGAGTAGGAGGCAGTTAACATTGAATATTCACTCTCACAAATTTGGGGTTTTCTTTCCTTACATCCTCTCATTGCCTTCCAATCAGGCATGTACAGTTTTTGTAACACAACAGCTATAGGTAGATGTAAAATTTGATTGATTTATGGAATTTTATTTCCAATGTAAACTTGCTGTCAGTGGTTTGATTTCAAACAAGTCCCCTCCTGCCAGGGTAACTCTAGCACGCAGATACGGTAACCCGCCTAACCAGGTAATCCAAGCTGCCTTGTAAACACGACAAAGAAAACTAGTGAGACAATCTCAGATAGTGCAGAGTGTAATGTATAGCTCTGACACAGTACTCATAACATAGCTCCTGTATGACCCCTACCATTCACTCCTGGTTTGTATTGACCTTGCTAGTTTTGATGAGACATGATCTTAGCACTGTATACGTTTGTTGTGTGTATTTTCAATCACAGTCCACGAATAGCATACAATTAATTACCGTTTGTCAAGACAGCTCTTAAATTTTCCTGCAGTGTTTTACGTTGATTTTTGCTCATTTTAAATTAAATAATACATTTAAGTAGCGAAGGTGACAATTTTACTCTTCACGCAAACGTTTGTAACTTGATACTTTTGTTTTCCTCGCAAAAGTATGTAACCTGAAAGTCTTGTTTTCTTGAAAACACACGGAAGATGTGCTTGCATTCTTTTCACAGCTGGAGATAGATGGAAGAAAGTTGAAGGTCGAAAGAAGAAGTGGAACAGGAATGATTTGCTTTATTTATTATGCGACTGTTAAGTAACGTGCCTTTTTGATCGCTTTCATCTTTCTTATCGCTTCACAGACATCATAAATTATCATAAACATACGATACGCTTTTTTACAGTACGCGTGAAGGTAACCTTTTGTGGGTATTGGAACAAACTCACTTTTACATAAGGGCCTGAATGAAAAGGTGAACGTCGCAAATAAAAAGTACCCACAAAATGGCAACATGGGCATGTCAATTACATTCCATTTACGACAATTTAAGGATACGTAAAAACTCCTGTCTGGTCACTTTACAGACATCGTAAAGGTCATCCGTACGACTTTTTACGATGCGCGTAAAGATAGCGTTTTATATCTCTCCGTAACCAGTTATGCACTCGTTTTCGATGCGTAAGGACGTTCTTTACGAAAGTGTAAAGGGTTCGGAAAGAATCGTAACGAGGATCTTACACTGTAACGCATTCTTTACGACATCATTAGGGATTCGTAAATTTAAAATTTCATGTTGTGTGAAGATGGATAAGACATAATTATTTCACTTCTTTGAGTATTTCTCTAAATAGAAAGTGATGAGTTATATCCATCTAGATCCCTATCCTTTACGAACATTTAATAACCGTTACGCAGTCTTTACGCATTCTCCGAATTTACGCATCTTAACGGGAAACGAAACTTGTCCGTAAAGAAGAGGCCTTATATTTACGGTTCTTTACGCAAAGTTAAAGATCCGTAAATTTTGGCTTTCATGCAGGTAACAAAATTTTGTTACCTGTTTTTGTATCGCATGTGATATACTGTATTATATTTAGAATAAATTCTATGTTTTTAAAATAAGAACCTGTATTGAGATTTTAGCCTCGAATGGTTCTTATGTGAAGGGTACTTAACAGCGAAATTTTAGGCTAACAGATTCTTAAATTTAGGTTCTTACACGCGGGATTTTACTGTATGCTCTTTACCTCCGTTGTGAGTAATGCACCAGTTTGAGAATCGATCTTAAACGCCGTACATCCAACAACCTCGTACATCAGATCACTGTTGCTGACGTCAGCGTCGCTGGCGTGAATGACAAGTGCCTTGCCATCTCCACCAATCACGGCC